ATCAGCGGCATCGGGTAAGCGTTCGTGGTGGACACTGCATTCAAACCCCAGTAATCCGTGCAGAGTCTCAGCCCACCATCCTTTTTCTTGCGGAACAGAACCGGAGCCGCAAAGTGGGCTGGTCTAATGAAACCCCTCGCCAAATTCTTGTCAATTAACTTTCTCAGTTCCTCTTTCTCGGCAGGTCCCATGGCATAAATCTTCCCCTTAGGTTGTTTAGCCCCCGGAACCAACTCTATGCTGCAGTCAGAATGTCTATGGGGGGGTAGTTCATCCGCCTCCTCTTCCCCAAAGACTGGGGCCAAGTCCCTATATTCTCGCGGAAGCGATGACACTTCTTCCCGGGTGAGTAAGGCAAATGGGGAGTCAGTCGCGGGATTCACTCCCCACCCGGGATCCCATCTGTGAGTTTTACATTTGGGTGACATAAAGTCCTCCTTCCCCTCCTCCCAGAGGATGTAAGGGTCATGCCCATATAGCCAGGGAGCCCCAAGTACCAGGGAGAACCTCACTGTTGGAGTGACTACGAAAGACCGATGTTCCCAGTGTTCCCCCGCTCCCATCCTCAGTGGCATCGTCTCATATAAGCACGGGTCTTTCATGGGGGACCCATCCATCTGAGTGAATATTAACGGGTCCTTCAGTCGCTTCACCCCTGCTTCCAGCCCTGCCACCACCGACGGGCTGATCAAGTCTCTCCTGCACCCAGAGTCAATAAGTGCCTTTACTCGCACATGAGTCCCAAGGATCGGGTTCATTAAGGACACAGTCACGAAAAATAGGGAGGGGGGGGTTGCTCACCACTTTTGGCGCCTCCATTGGAGGGTCCTGCCGTTGTGCGCCCTCTACGGCAGGACCTGCTCGTTTCCCGCCGGCTCCTGATCCATCTCACTGGAGTCGCCTTCATCTTCCTCTGGTGACGCCTGCAGAGCCTTGGCGAACTTTGGTTTTCCCAGCGCCTTCTTCCCGGGGCTAGCCCGGAACTTGCTTGCTTCTGGTTTCTCCCTTTGAGGCTTCTGGCCACAGTCTGCAGCAAAGTGGCCCTTTTCCCCGCATTTGAGGTACAAACCTTGGCACATCCTCAGCTCTCGTGTAGCATCGGGTGGTCGAGAGGGTTTAGCCTTCGGGGTCTGTTGGGGAGTTCTGCCGCCAGCTGCGTCTAGGTCCAAGCGCAATGTTTGCAAGCGATTCTCCGCACTCTCTGCCTCTTGTATCCAGGCCCCCAGGGAGATGGGGTCTACTGACCGTAAGACTGTCTCTCAGATCTCCTGGTTCAGCCCAACACGGTACATTTCAGCCAGTACATTGTCTGGCCAGTTCGGCAGCTTTGATCCACGGAGTTTAAACTTGGCCGAGTACTCCCGCACTGTCTTCCGTCCCTGCTTCAGAGTACGTAGGTACGCTCAGTCCCTAGGACCAGCATTCAGGTCTTCGAATTGAGTCCGCAACACCCACATAAATGCATACATATCTCAGAGTTCGGGGCCACAGGTGTTGTGCAGTCCTACATACCAAGTCGCCGCCGCCCCTCGCAGGTGAGCCGCGACCACGTCGATTCGGCTGTTGTCATCCGGAAACAGGTGCCCCGATCTGTCAAGAAACTTTTGTACTAGCACCACAAAGTAGGGCAGTTCATCAGGGTTCCCGTCGAATGTCGCCTCAGTCAGATCTTTTGGGCGAAGGGTTACCTGCGGTCTCAGCGCCGGGGCGGGCACATCTGGTGGTCCCAGAGCAGGGAGTTGTGGACCCGGCTGCGCTGGAACTCCCGGTTGAGCAGGTAATCTCGGCTGAGCTTGGCCCCTCCAATCAGAAGGTTGTTGGCCTCCTCCCGCTCCATCTTCTGGTTGTCTGCGCTCCCACATTTCTTCGAAGGTTCGCATAAGTAGCTCCGGTAGGGCTTCCAACACCTTGTCTAGGGTCTGTTGCAGATGCTGGATGTTCTGGTCAGTCGTCTCGAGTTGTTCCAATATCCCCTCCTCTGGGGACACCCGGCCGCTTCTGGTCTTTGACCGGTTGGTCACCCACGAGGGTAGGAACAGCTCGGCTTGGGCTCCCGGGGCTGCCATCCCCGGCCCTGTCATGCAGGCTGTCCCTCAGGCTCTCTCCCAAATGTGAGTACGATTCCCGCACAGCCTCCGCATCGACCTGGTTCCAGCTAGTTCGGCCCTCATGCCTCGGCGGATATGCCAAGTCCTTCGGAGTCAGGAACAGTGTAGCCGTGCTCTTCTTTGGGATAGCCCCCCCCACGGGCATGTACACCGGTGGCGTTGTTGTCACCGGCACCGACGCTGAGGTTTCCGGGGGGGTCTCCTCCTTGTCTGGTTCAGTCCCATCAGGGATAGTATTCCCCTCTCCATCGCTCATATCGAGCTCGATAGATGCGCTGAGATAAGGAAGAATGGGATTCTGAACAGTATGTCAGGTCCTCACAGCTAACAACGTAGTACACACTTGCAAGAAGGTTTTACTTTATTGAAGCCATGAAGCACTTGAACAGAGCCACTGTTCAGAATAACGATAGCTCGGAGAGCTGGAAAGGTTAAAGCAAGTTCATAATCATAATAGCCAATAAACATGGTTCCCGCGCACGGCTAAAGGGTTTCTTGCACGCCTAAACCTTGGGAAAGCAACGGCTACCTTATTATAAATAAGCATATTATTCTCACAGTCTCTACTATTTAAAGACAAAGCAAAGCTCTCTTGCTCTTCCACCTGTGGCCTTGGCTAGATAACGTTACATCAAAGTATGGCTGGCGTATACTGAAAGGAATGTAGAGTTACTGGGGAGATGTGCGCATGACAAGCTGAGCGCATCTACAGTGGGGGGGAAGATGCAACATAGAGAAACATATAGGCAAGATTGAACTTTTGGCAGCTTGCTGACACCATTCTCCAAACCTAACCCCACATCCAAGGAAAACTCCATCAAAAGAACATCAGAGAAGCCTTGTTGGATCAGGCCAATGGCCCATCCAGTGCAACACTCTGTGTGAAACACTGTCCAAAACCCAGGTGCCCTCAGGAGGTCCACCAGCAGGGCTTGAACTCCAAAAGCCCTCCCACTGTTGCCCTCCCCCCAATGCACCAAGAATACAGAGCATCACTGCTCCAGACAGAGTGTTCCATCTGTACCTTCTAGCTAATAGCCGCTGATGGACCTCTGGTCCAAATGTTTATCCAGTCCCCTCTTGAAGCTGTCTACGCTTGTAGTCACAACCCCTTCGCAATTCAACATCCACAGCAACATCATTGATAATTTTTCTGACTTTAAAAGGCCCTATGAATTTCCACCCCAACTTCCTACTAGGGCGCAACAACTTGATGTTTTTAGTAGACACATACACCATATCCCCAGGCCGTAGAGCCCAACCCTCCATCCTTCCTCTGTCGGCCTGCTTCTTGTAAGCTGCCTTAGCAGCATCTAACATCTTGCACAGTAGAGGCCAGGCCTCTTGCAACTGTTTACACCATGAGCTGACATCTCTGTGTCCCAATTCTTTCCCCCTATCCAGGAAAGGCATAGGAGGACTATCATAACCATATAGTGCCTTAAATGGGGACATTCCAATGGATGCATGGCAAGTGTTATTGTAGCAGTATTCGGCAAGAGGCAATAAGTCACACCAATCATCTTGTTGATAGTTCGTGAAGCACCTAAGATATTGCTCCAGGGTCTGGTTCACCCGCTCTGTTTGTCCATCAGTCTCTGAGTGATAAGCGCTACTTAGACCCTTTTCAACCCCCATAAGGTTCATCAATTCGGTCCAGAATTTGGAAAAGAATTGGGTCCCCCTTTCAGAGACCACCTTGCTGGGTAGCATGTGTAGCCGTACAACATGATTCAGGAATGCTTTGGCCAAGGATTTAGCCGTTGGCAGTGAAACAAAAGGAATGAAGTGTGCCTGTTTGGAGAATAAGTCCACCACCACCCAAATCACTGTCTTAGTTTTGCTGGGTGGTAAGTCCGTTATAAAATCCATGGAGATGAACTCCCACGGTCGGTTAGGTGTGGGGAGTGGGTGCAACAGTCCCAGGGCCTCCCCCCCCCCCGCGGTTTCCTCATCGCGCAAATTTGACAGGTGTGCACAAACGCTGAAAGATCTTTGCGCATGCGAGGCCACCAGAATTGTCTTTGCAGCAACTGTAGGGATTTAACAAACCCCAAGTGCCCAGCCATTTTTGAGCCATGCACTGACTTCATAACATCCCCCCTTAGGGAGACTGGTACATATAGCCTACAGTCTTTGTACCAACAACCATCTGTTCCTTGTTGACAATCTCCCACCCCCTCCAGCACCTCTTTGTCCACATCCAAAAAAGCTGCTTTAAATTGCTTTTCCCAAGCCATTTTGGGAGGAGACGGGTGGGGAGGTGGAGGGGAGGCAGGGATTTTTGCCGCTTGGCTGCGAGTGGTGACCGCACCTCACAATTGGGCAGGGGTGAACACCAAGTCTAAGATGACATCGCGTTGACTGGCATGTTGAGGGAGGCGTGACAGACCATCTGCCAGCGAGTTAGCCGACCCGGGAAAATGGTGGAGTGTGAATTGGAACTTGGAGAAAAAGTCAGCCCACCTCAATTGTTTGGCGTTTAGGCTCTGGGGCGTTTTTAACATTTCAAGATTTTTGTGATCAGTCCAGACTTCAAATGGCATCCTCGCCCCCTCCAGCCAATGCCTCCAGGTCGAGAGAGCCAATTTTATAGCCCCCGCTTCCTTCTCCCACACGGACCAATGTCTTTCAGAGTCAGTGAATTTTTTAGAGACATAAGCCAGGGGGTGAAGCAGCCCATCCTCCCCTTCCTGCAGGATCGCCCCCCCCCCATTGCTACATCCAATGCATCAGTCTGCACAATGAACTTTTTTGTCTCATCAGGGTGGGCTAAGACAGGTTCTGACATGAATAATGCTTTTAAGCACATGAACGCTTCCTGCCATTCAGTCGACCAGGGGAGCTGCGCGCTGAGTTTGGTGGCCTCCGGCCCCTTCCCTTTCGTTTTCAATAAGTCAGTGAGGGGGAGGCTAATTTGCGCAAAGTTTGGCAAAAATGCGTGGTAAAAATTGGCGAATCCTAAGAAGGATTGTAATTGCCTCTGAGTCTGTGGGGCCTCCCACCCTAATACATCCCGCACCTTCCCTGGGTCCATTTCGAGGCCAGCTGCTGAGATGCGGTAGCCTAAAAAGTCAATGGGTGTCTTGTGGAACTCGCACTTGGAAAGTTTTGCTAACAGTTTGTGCTTGTGCAACATACGTAGGACCTCTCTCACCATTTTCACATGGGAGGGGGAGGTCGGGGGAGTAAATAAGGATGTCATCTAGATAAACAAGCACCCCCTTAAACAAATGTTTGTGAAGGACTTCGTTGATTAAGTTCATGAAGACCCCCGGGGCCCCTTGAAGCCCAAAGGGCATCACCAGGTACTCAAACTGCCCCAAGGGAGTGTTGAAGGCAGTTTTCGCTTCATCGCCTTCCATTATGCGCACTTGAAAATAAGCATCCCGCAAATCAAGTTTTGAAAAAAAAATTCCCCTTTGCCGCCTCTGCCAGCAAGTCTTTAATCAGGGGCATTGGGTAAGCATTCGTGGCGGACACTGCATTTAAACCCCGGTAATCCGTGCAGAGTCTCAGCCCACCATCCTTTTTCTTGCGGAACAGAACCAGAGCCGCAAAGGGGGACGAGGCTGGTCTAATAAAACCCCTCGCCCAATTCTTGTCGATGAACTTTCTCAGTTCATCTTTCTCGGCATAAATCTTCCCCTTAGGTAGTTTAGCCCCCGGAACCAACTCTATGCTGCAGTCAGAATGTCTATGGGGGGTAGTTCATCCACCTCCTCTTCCCCAAAGACTGGGGCCAAGTCCCTATATTCTCGTGGAATCAATGATACTTCTTCCCAGGTGAGCAAGGCAAATGGGGAGTCAGTCGTGGGATTCACTCCCCACCCGGGATCCCATCTGTGAGTTTTACATTTGGGTAACATAAAATCCACCTTCCCCTCCTCCCAGAGAATGTAAGGGTCATGCCCATATAGCCAGGGAGCCCCAAGTACCAGGGAGAACCTCGCTGTTGGAGTGACTACGAAAGACCGATGTTCCCAGTGTTCCGCCGCTCCCATCTTCAGTGGCATTGTCTCGTATAAGCACAGATCTTTCATGGGGGACCCATCCATCTGAGTGAATATTAACGGGTCCTTCAGTCGCTTCACCCCTGCTTCCAGCCCTGCCACCACCGACGGGCTGATCAAGTCTCTCCTGCACCCAGAGTCAATAAGTGCCTTTACTCGCACATGAGTCCCAAGGATCGGGTTCATTAAGGACACAGTCACGAAAAATAGGGAGGGGGGGGTTGCTCACCACTTTTGGCGCCTCCATTGGAGGGTCCTGCCGTTGTGCGCCCTCTACGGCAGGACCTGCTCGTTTCCCGCCGGTAATGGATTTTATATCCACGTTCACACACCCAACATCTGAGCACCGTCCCCAGCTGTCGCTTTCCGGCTCAACCCCCCTTTAAAATGGAGTATTTTGTTACTAGGTCCCCAAGTGGTGTTTTCCCGATTCTCCAGTTCTAGCCGCACTTTTCTGACGTCTGATCGCTCCTGCGGTGTCGAGCCACTTCCACTCGGAAGCCTGAGGCTTCCACTCTTCGCCTGCCATTTTATTTTAGCATTGGTGGTATGCGCACAGGCAGAGCGCCACTCCTGTGTTATTAAAAACAATGTTTAAACAGTGCCTAGTTTTGTTGGTTAGACGAGTTCGGGATCTCACGGAGGCCAGTTTCGAGGTAAAAGTTTAAAGGGAAGTGTTCCTTTAAAGTTTAAATGAAAGCATTATAGCAGTTGGGTTGAAGTGGAAACCACTGTTCTGCACACGCGTGAAATTTTTAATTCTACAGATGGCCGCCTGTGCGCATGCCCAAACTGAGAGAAAGAGAGAAAAAAACACCGACGCACACTCCCACGTGTGGACCGTGGGGAGCGATGTGGCTGCACAGTGATCCGGAACAAGGAAGTGAGTGTGATCGTGATTCTCCAGGTTAAAAAAAAAAAGCATCGGGACCGGAGCAATTTAAACCCTTCCCAGCATGCCGTCTGACCGCACCCAAAGCCTATTTCTGTGTCCTTGGATGCACACAATTATTTGGTTGTTTTACTATGCAGTTTCTTGGATGGGGGACCTTTAGACTGGCCAGACCAAAGTTTTCCTGTAAAATCCTCACTTAAATGAATGAAACCTGAACAAAATAATGCTCTTGCACAAAGCCTGTTCTTTTCAGTGGAGCTTGCACAGTAGAAGTATCTCTTTCTGGATTGGCCTCCGATTTCTAATTTCTGCTAGCATGGACTGGGGTGTGGGGGGAATAATCTTATTTAAAACTTGAGCACAGAAC